AGTGCAGATCCTTCCCCAGCTAGCAGTGGTGCTGTGGGCAGAGCAGCACTGGCTGTTGACTCCACGCTGGTAACACAAGAGCACAACCGATGCCAACAATGCACTCTGTGTGGGACCTCTCCACATACAGGACTAGTAGCATGTAATAACTAAGCATTACTTCATGTATCTTAGCTTAATAATGATGACAGCAAAAAAGACAAAAAAATCAGGGTTTTATTACGATGATTATTCTACACAGCAAGGTATTAAGGTGATTATACAGAAATAACCTGCACATGAGTGTGGCAGAAAGCCTTGGGTTGCTGTTTGCCACTGCCTACACGAGGAGTGAATTCATCATGGACAGAGCTAATTCAACAACCCACTGCCTCCTCTTCTACATGCTTTAAACCCCAAACCTGAACCATTGCTACAAGCATCCTGATCAGTGCCATTACGAGTTACCTGAGTTTATGTTCCGTATTTTATTCTATGCTGAAAATCAAGGCCTGGATTACGTGGCAATCATGGACATAATATATATATACCAGAAGCAGAGGGAATAGCGCTTATGTTACACAGCATTTCATTTGTTTTCCCCTCCTTGTCACCAGTCTCATAAGGAAATGAGAGAGACAAAACAGAAGTTCCCTCCTCCAGCAATCGGCGCTGAACACACTGGTTGAAGAGTCAAGATTAGCACCCCTGAAGCATTAACAGAGGCTGGCAGGCATTAGGCTCCTCCTTTCGTCTCCTCCCTTATCTCCTTATTTCAAAACCAGCATCAGAAAATGGGACACATTCTGCTTGGGCTGGCGTGATCCAGGACGACAAACAGGACACAGCACCCGGCTGGGGTGGGAGCCAAAGGTCGGGTCTGTGCTGATGTGGTGAAAACGGGCTGGAGTCACAGCAGCTTCTCCTGTGTGAGGGTATCTGCATGGGGCTCTGCTCAATCCCAGCTCCACCAGCCAAATGTGACAGCACCCGGCTGGCTGCAGAGCTCAGTGGGCCCCGGGCACCCTCTGCAGGCACCGGGGCTCCCCATGGGGGCCTGGGGTCACTCTGCTTCAGCCACCAGAGATCATCCCACACTCCTGCCCCAAGCCAGCTGGGTTTAAAGCACAGCTTCAACTACTCTACCAGGGCACAAAGGGCTTGCACCATGGTGTCAAAGTCTTCTGCAGCCTCTGCACCCTGACTGCTCTGAACGGGGATGGTTATTACCCAGACACAGATACCCTGCGACCGCAGGTTCACAGCTCGGTGAGCGCTTCCCTGTGGCACTCATTGCACAAGCAGAGGTTTTGCCTTCACAAATACCCTTCCCCTTCACTGAAAGGATCAAACAGAGTCCAGCAAACCTGAGCTAAACCAAATGTCACTTCCCCCTCACCCCCTTTCATTTTCCCCTTTGTTAAATAATGCAATTGTCCCGGAAAGGGTCCTGTCAGCCAGCCCTGGCACACAAGCTGTCCTCCAAAGAGCAGGGAAGCACAGTGGGAATGCTGGGGCAGCATGCAGCCACAGTAAATAACCCTGAGCTGCTTTGTTCCATCAGCAAATAAATGATTAATAGCTCAGGGCAGTCACTCTCAGAACTTTTGATCAGTTTGATTCATTAACCTTTAAAACTGCCTCGAAAAGAGGCCTCACATCCAAAGGAGAAGTATCAGTTTAAAATGAACACTTCAGTTTTATCCAGTAATCTTCATTTTAGCCAAGTATCGAGACACCCTGCTCCTCTTTAGAGGCTCTCAGCAGTGCACAGTCAGGTGTCAAGAAATAACAAGGGAGAATAAAGTTGATGCAGACAAACAAACCCACTTCAGCTCAACATTCAGACCGGATCAGGGCTGGGGGCAGAGAATGGCACTTCGTGACTCTGAAGCATTTGGCTGATTTGCAGGTGGCTTCCAACTGTCTCTTTCTTCTTTTGGTTTTAATGCTGCTAAAAAAGGGACACAACCAGGGGACTCCAAGCCCCACACAAAGCACTGGGGGAGGGCAGGGAGGGGAACTTCTGTATCCGAAAAGTCTGACTCAGACAAATTACTTCTAGTTCACTTCCTTACGACACACCCGCATTGTTCCAACACCTTGGTAGCATAAGGGGTTCATCCCCAGCTATCTGGTCCCAGAACCAGCAATGCAGACTAATGCCATTAAAGAACTGTTCCAATTACTTCCCTGGGGAATGAAGTGACTTGCAGCTTAACGTCCTGCCCCAACACAGCAGGAAAACCAACTGTCCACAAAGGCGCTGCTAATGGCTGCTGATCCACGGACCTGCTTTGGGATGAGCTGCAGTTTGTCTTCCAGGGACAGCAGCTGCTTCCTGAAGCACAAGTACAGATGGTTGGAGGCTCGGGCACAATTTGCTTCGAGAGTGAGGCTGGGGATAGGTTCCCCAAGAGAAAAAGAGGGGTTTGAACACAGACAACTGACAGCCACTGTTGCCAGGTGGAAACTTGCTATGGGCTTGTTTGTACCTCCTAGAGAGGACAGATACACTACATACAGCAGGGTAAAAAAGAGAGGACAAGCCACTTGTCCTTCCTGTGGCCAGAAAAGTGCTTCCCAAGCAGCCACGTGGTTGTAGTGGTAGAGCTACTTAGCAGAGGAAAATGATTTTGCCTCTAAGGGACTCACAAGCCTTTCTCAGAGGAAGGAATGGCAGCTCTACATTAAAGAGGTTAAACTCTCCTTCCAGACACACACTCACATAACCAGCCTGCACCATCTCCTGCTACAGTAATTACACATGCTGAAGGATTTGGGAGCCTGAATAGCTGTAGGGAGAAATTCCCAAGCCATAGCTGTCAGATCATGGAAGAGTTCTTTGAAATCCCACCACGGCTTGTAGGAATCAGCAATATTAGAACACTGACATTCTTATTTGGGACAATATTGAGGCTTCTGACATAAAGAGAGAGTGCTGCTCTGTGCTGCTTCAGACACCCAGCAGTGGTGCAGAGAAAGACAGGATGTTAGGTTGGATCTAAGGAAGCAGCTCTTCCCTGTGAGGGTGCTGAGGTGCTGGCACAGGGTGCCCAGAGAAGCTGTGGCTGCCCCATCCCTGGCAGTGTTCAAGGCCAGGTTGGACACAGGGGCTTGGAGCAACCTGCTCTAGTGGGAGATATCCCTGCCCGTGGCAGGGGTTGGAACTGGATGAGCTTAAGGTCTTTTCCAACCCAAACCATTCTATGATTCTATGTCTATAAAGAAATCAGACCTTCAGTTTCAGGTTTTTTTTCTGTACTTGAATCTTTAAGCTTATCTACACCAAGCAAAATGTTCAACTGCAATGAAACAAACCCAGTTCCTAATTTCTATAGCTTCCCTGGGGTCTAGCTTAAATACTGATCAGTGTTCAAGTGTTCAGTACAGGGTGTAAAAGCAGGTGAAGTTAGAAGTTGAAGGTGCCACAGACAGTTGTTATGGCAAAGCACTATCTTGTCTTTTGGGCACCAAACACATCATGGATTTGCATGACATGAGAACAAAGCAGCTTCCATCTCTACACTGCGAGATCTCACAGTAAATGTAGTTGGGACTCAGGGTTAGATTCAGTTCAAGAGCCAGAAGGCTCTATTCCTACTCCAGCCGAGCCACTCGGGATGCAATTCAATCCCAAACATCACAGCACCAGGCAATGGGAAGGGGAATATTTCACTCTCCCTCTTGCTGACACAGAGAGTGGGAAAAGAGAGAGCAAAGCAGCACTCAGAGTAGGTCTAATAGTAATAGGGGAGCTTAGGGCAAGGAAAAATGACTTAAGAAGAATTGGAGAAGTTTCTTCTCAGAAGCCACCTGAACTTAAAGGTACCATTTCAGTCATACCATTGAACACAACCAAGTCCTACAGCCTGGAGGGTGCAGAGACTGCAAAAGATGATGAACAGTATCAGTGGGATTATGAAATGCCGTGGCCAGGTCAGGATGGAAAAGCAGATGGGTACAGAGAGAGCAAATAAACAGTCCTGGCTGAGCCAAAGGGAACGGTTGGCACAGAGAACTTAATGCTCTCTTGCAAATATCACCACAAAACCCCAGTGCATCAGGAATTAACATACATCATTAACTGAATGGTTTAGTGTTATATGGCAGAGCACTGCTCTGCACTAACAGTTTTAGTTTACTCATTTTAAAAGCTTTCCCACCTATCTGGTTGATCTCCTGTTCAAGCCCAGCATGTGCTGTGCTGCTCCTGGGGCTCAACAGGGTATTTTGGCAAGGAGAATTCATTCATCTATTAATCCATGGACTCAACCCAGCTCAGCAACAAGCTACAGGTACAATCAAGTTTGACTGCCACTAACACGTGCCACTGCTGGGGAGGGCACATTCTGGCCCTACAAGAAACCCATGTGCTTATCTTGCACCTAAACAAAAGTGCTTGTTGCAAACGCTGCTCACTTGTACACGTGGAGCACCAGGGTGCGACCTGAGGTGTGCAATGCACCCCAGCCTGTTCCCAGAGCAGCCCAAGTTGTGCAACTGTTCTTGGTATTTAGTTCAAGCAGCTCTTAAAAACATTACAAATAAGTTTCAAATAGTGACAGGGTATTAATCAGTGCATTTGCAGAGGGACAGATTCAGCCCAAGTGCATGAAAGAAACCAAAGGAAAATAATCTTCCCAAGCCCCATTTCCCAGGCTTGTACCAGACAATCTTAACAGTTTTATTTCTCCAACATCTTAATGCCTCCCTGAGGGCAAACTGCAGAGAAACCTTCTTAAGGAGCACACACTGTCCTTGGATTAGCTTAAACAAGACTGCAAGTCATCCACAGAAATCAAGAAATGCCAGTTTTGCTTTCAGACGTGAGCAGGTCCCTGCTCCCATCCCACTACAGGGAGCACAGTGAGCAGTCAGATGATCCCAGAACGTTTTTGCATGGTTGGATATACTTACTGTCACACTTACTGTCAGGCTGTTATTTTGTAGGTATATTTAGACTCTTAAAAAAAAGCCCCAAAGCTATTCCTGTGGGGAAAATAAGGCCTCTTTTAAAGACTGCAACAAGTTTCTGTGGGGTATTTACTTGTGTTAAACAGGGCCAAGAGAAGACTGATCAGAACACTTTGACCAGGACACAGGAGGCAACTCTACTTGATAGCTGTTAATTTAACTAAATCACCAGTCAGGAGCAACAGAAGAACCTTTTCCGATAGCTGCCAGAAGGTGCCATCCCATTCAGAGGTGTTTTACAACGACCCACCTACTTGTCTGTCCTTTTGTTATAAATGAGGAAGTCGGAGATGTCGTGCCACGTGTTGCTGTCGTCGTACAGGTAGGTCATGGAGGACTGCAGGGAGGGCTGCAGCGTGTGCCGGTGGTACTCGAAGAGCCACAGAACTGTCCCCCAGATCAGAGCAGCAACAAGAGGAAAGGGATCCTGCTTTGGCTGTGGGATGTAGCCCTTATCCACTGCCAGCCGAGACAGGCCGAACAGGATCCGGGACAGCAGGTACATGATGATCTGCATGAGAGAAAACCCAAAGAGATTGAGGCAACCACTGGCCAGGCTGAGTGACACACAAGCGATAAGGCTGCAACAAGGGTGGAAAGAGTTTACTCAGCTTAAAGGCAAACAGGTTGTAGGTTCATATATCGAGCAATCTCTCTAACAGGAGATGTTTGTGTCCTCCAAGCCCTACTTGTCTGCCTGTGCTCTAATTTAGTCACAGACAAGTTACACTTAACACCTTTGCAGTTGCACAACTTCTGTCCTTGCTCAGCTGTTACCTCAGATGCTGCTGCTGACACAACAGTCACAGAGCGGCTCTACTCACCTCCCAGACAGGGACAAACTCAGAAGTGTGGACACATCCTAACCCCAGCCTGACTGATGCTCCTGCAGGGCACTGCATAAGTAGAACACTTGATTAAGCTGCATCTCTGAGGGTTCCTGACTGATGAATCTGTGACTGTGTTAACGCAACAGCTCTGGACTGTGTGCCTGTCTGCCTCCATGGGCTTACAAGTGCAGCTTGAGAGGTAAAGCTGGGCTTTTAGTGCTCACATTGCACACATCTTTCACAGAGGCACACAACCACCTGTAGAACTGGAGCGTAAAGCAGCCAAAACAAGAATTGTGTGAAGAGGAATGCGGTAAGAGAGTAACTCCACACTCTAACAGCCCCCAGACAGATGCCAGGCTACAGCAACCACTTCCTGGCACATGATCATCCATCTGCTGGGGCTTTTGGGCAAGGAAACTTCGAACCAACATGTTTACCTGGCTGTTGATGGGGTTGTTGTCACCAAACACCAGCCAACCCCCAATGCAGGCTGCAAAGAAAGAATGAAATGGGATTTTCTTCCCCTGCAGTCGGGCCTGCAGCGCCATCAGCCCCTTGTAGGTGAACACAAAATAGGCCAAGTTCCGGGAATGAGTGTACGTAGCCTGAGCAATCGCCTTCAATTTCTCTCTTAAACTGAAGGAAAGAAACAGACAATTAGGAGAGCACAAAGGCAGGACCATTGCAGCCACCCAGCCTGGACACTGCACCTCTGACATCTCCTGAGGGAGCAGAAACCCCTTCATCTCTGGCTCATTCATCAGAACAGAGCTGACGACTGTGACTGTGCTGCTGCCTAGTTCTATGACTAGAAATACATCAAATTCATAAAACACACAGAAATCCATCAAAATACAGCTCTTCTTAGACTGTGACAGAAGTACCTGTCCAATTCCATGACTAGTGAAGCAGTCTTTTCTTCAATTAATGCCTAAAGGGAAAGCCAAAACATGCACTGCTATAGTTTGGCTTCCCTTATTGAGCAGACAGCAGATGGCTGCTGTTTGCATCTGCTTATTTCTCCTCTGTCCACTGGTTCTCATCAAGCATTCTGAGTTGACTACATATATTTGGTGTGCATACAAGTTCTCCTACTTAGCTGTCAGAACAACAGGCTATGAACAGGGCTCATGCATCTCTCTGCTGTTTAGGCCCTTATGAAGCATGAAAAATTGAATGTTTGGAGGAAAAGCATTCTAAGCAGTAGCACAGAAACACAGAGCTAGGGTCGTACCTTCCGCTCTTGAATAGGAAAGTCATCACCAGGGCATGTGGGGCACGAACTTTTGCTCCATAACTGCAAAAGTGAATAGTTATATCAGCATTTTTGTATTAAAGAATCCCAGACTGGTTTGGGTTGGAAGGAACCTTAAAGCTCCTCCAGCTCCAACCCCTGCCATGGGCAGGGACATCTTCCACTAGAGCAGG